ATTCATTATAAAAGTATACATAAAATCTTGGGTTACATCTATCACAAAAAGCGAGGCTCCCATGAATGACATAAACTTAATACGAACTTTATATGCCTACACAAATGATGACAAAGAGATTGCAAATGCATTCCTTTCGAAATTTTTAAACCATTTGTGGTATTTAAGTGACGAGTGTGTTGCGTTTTCTATTTTCGATACAAGACTCCCTGCAGAAATAAAAAAGATATTGTGACCAAGATTAATGATTTGAGTTTGGAAAATAAACTAGAAGAAGACGACAAATTAAGTTCAAAGAAATTGTCTCTTAAAATTGAAAAAGTACCTGAATTTTTAGCAACAAATTTTCCAACTTCATTATTCACTAAACAGTCCTTAAACTTATTCAAAAGATATCATATTAACATAATTTTTTTAGATGTAGACCCAGCTGACTTGGAAAAAGACTCCTTCTATATATTAGGAAAAAAATTGTTGATGGACTAAAAATCGTCAATGACAATGTTGAGAGAAGTATTAAACTCATGGAAGATTACAACAACAAACACACCAAAAATAAAAATAAAAATCAATAACAATTATTATTACAAGTAATTTAAACAGCAATATATTTATAATAAAAATATTTAGCTTAACTTACTTTTCATTTTTATTTAAGGTAGTTCAAAATACAGAAAAACGTATCCTGAGTGTACTAAACAAGCTCTAAGAACTCCGTTCATATTAATTTGATACTTAACTAAAGTTTTTAATCGGAAATAAATTTATACTTAATTATTTTTTTTAGTCGATAGTTCGTAATATGTTAGTGTAAAAAAATTTAGTTCTGTTTGTATTTTTTTGTTATTTTCGCCAAATGATGAGACAAATTTCTCAATAAAAAAGAAATGGTGAATCAATTTAAAATTTTTAAATATATCTTTTTTACTTAAAATATTATTTTAAGTATATTTTATAAGAAACTTTTTGTTGTAAATTCGACAATACGTAAGATACGAACAAAATAATAGAAAAAAACCGATTTTGTAAAATAATTAAATTATTCTATTATTTTAAATTTTACAGACCACACCCAAAGAAAAACCTCAATCAAAATTGAAAGAGAAATTTTATCAAGGGTTTATGATAATGTTTTATTAATACGAACAAAATAACTATTCTTATAAATAATTATTGTTCAAGACAAGAAAAAAAAATATCATATTGATAAATATATCATTGATTCAATAGTAATGATATATTTATCAAATTGAACAATGAATTTATTATATAGATCGAGGTTTTTCTCTGGGTGCATATAATGGTCTAATCAGGGAATACGTCATGACATATTTAAAGAACAAGTTTAGATCTACAAATTAATACCTGAACATTTTTTTGTACGATTTTTTGTTATTGAAATATAAGCGAAAAACTATAAAACTACCCCATTTATCAAATTTTCAACCCTTTTGCGGCACGGGAAGGGGTTGACCAATCACGACTAAACTTCACCAAAATGTTTTACTTATAGTAATAAAAAAATTTAGAGGATCCTGCAACTGAACAATCAAAATTTTTTTTTGCTTCACTTATGACAGAGGACCACCCTAACAAACAGTGATATTAAAATATATAATTTATATTCGTTTAATAAAAAATCCGAACGACAAATTTGCTAACGTTCTCTGAGTCCTTCCGCTCTTAGACGTTTATAAGTATTAATAGCTGACACGGCCCGCGTAGCTTCGTTATACACGGTGCCCCGCGACTCGTGCCATCTTTATCAGCCGTCGTCCTACTATGAGTATTTGACTGACCAACACCGCGTGTTATACGCTACGGTGCAAAGTCCAGCAAATGCCGCACGGCCGACGACGACCCGCCGCAAATGGTGCGGGAGTCCCCTCCCGTTGTGAAAGCGACAACGTCGACCAACCGATCCGCACCCGCGCACCGTCGCCACAACGCTGCTAACCATTTACCGTCCAACGATTACGCCGGACATTGCGTCGTCGACGCCAGCGAAAGTGCCGCGATATTATGCGAAGATTATTATTACTGTGTTTATCTTTTCGGTTTTTTTTAAAATAATGTGTTGTCGCTCATTTAATAAACGGCCCACGGGTATCTACCCTCAAAACCAGTGTCGACCACATTTTTGCGACGTAAGTCGTGTCATAGCTTAGTTGATACTGACAGTTGATGATCTCGCGAAGTCATATTTATGTTTTGGATTTGTCGCGTATCGGTGAACTTATCAATTTTATTCTATAATTTTTTTACTGTGCTAAATTAAGATATTAATTTTTTTTTTCACTCTTTAAAAAATAATACTTAATATGCCAAAGAGACGGTGTAGTTTCAATAGAATGTTGTAAACACAGTTTCCTTTTCTAAGAGAAGCCAATGAAATAGGAAAAGTTCAGTATATCATCTGTAAATTTCTATTTTAATAAAACATGGAGGGTTATCAGATATCAAACACTACTTACAAAAAAAAAATCATTTATTGGCCATGTCAAGTAATTCTAAATCGGATAAATGAACGTCATTTATTATTAATAAAGAACAATCTGGGCTATCGGATGAAAGGAAATGTGTTGGAAAGTATATTTTCATTTCATACTATTATGCTAACTATTTGTTGTGGATTTTCTATAAAAGTACAATTTAGCCAATAAAATAGTAGCTTTTTTGAAAGATAACTCCAACACAAATTTTGGCGATTTAAGGTTTTTAAGGAATATAAAAGGTTTTTTAAATTTTAAGGAAAATTTAAAAACTCAAATATCAGACTTTAGTTATGCAGCTCATATCTTATATAATGTCATGCAAACTAGTACGGATATTTTGCTAGTTAAATCCATAATTAATAAGATATTTCAATATTTCCACATATATGGATTTTTCAATTCAAGATAAATACTTTACAATTCTAAAACAGTTTTTCGATAATCCTGTCTCTATTGCATGATTATATTTTATTCAAAGCCAAATGAACAGTAGTGTGTGATACAATAATAAGAATGGAAAGTGACAATCTTTCGGCGAGTGAAGTGTGTGATTAGCTGGAAATTGTATGTGAAAAAATAAGAAACAAATAAAATCAAAAATTGTTTCATTAAAATTAGCTTTACTTATTGAAAGCCTCGATAAAAAATATTTACAGCAAAAATAATTTTATAGAAGATCATCATTTTTATAGTGTTTTTTTATCTTGTATAAAAAAATGGAGTTGTCATTTTGAACCGTTTAAAATGTTTCGTTAGACTCAGATATTAGATAGTCCTGTTTGAACAGACATTTAAGAAAGTATTAAATATTTCTTTAAGTTCCTATCCAATATTCTCTTAAAACTAATTCCAGGAAATTTTAGTCATTTATTAAAAATATAAAAGGTTGAGCTAGTCTTCTTAATTCCTTATCCTTGTATCATGATGCAGCTGAAGATGGTCTAGATATTGTAGATTTATTTAGTCACTATTTTGCGTCCAATTATAAAAAAAAATGAACTTACTTCATTTCAATGGTCCTGTTATCGAATCCTTCGAATTTATTAAGGTTTTCCTATTAAGGATTGCTCCATTAACTTCTTTGATGTCTCTAATGAACTCAATAATCTTAATCTTTAAAATCGGATGTTTCCCTTCTTTTTGAAAAAATACTTACATCACTCCAATTTTTAAAAAAGGCAATAGATCACAAATAACTAATTATCGCCCGATATTCATTATTTCAATCCTTCCAAAATTGTTAATTCTATATCATCTCATCTTTTTAAAAATGTTTTAGTACCGCAACAACATAGTTTTTACACCAAAAAAATACACATTAACAAATTTATGCACTTTCAAACAATTTCTATGAAATTTTTTTTCCTTAAACAAACAAGTAGATGTTGTTAATACTAATTTTAAGAAGGCATTTGATAGGGTCTACCATTCACATTTAATCTCGAGATTCGCAAAAATTGGTTTAGCTAATACTTTCTTATCTGACTTGTTCAATTTTAACAAATGAATTTTAATTTGTTAAATATAAAAATTTTATTACTAAACCTATTTCTATCGTTTCTTGTGTTCCGCAAACCTGTCTCCTCTTCTTTTCAACTTGAAAAATCAAGAAATTTATTTAACTAAAATAAATTTAAAATGTTGTTGATTGCGTTAGTAATACATCTTTTAAACATCTTTTAAAACAAATTGTTTCATACGTAACAATCCTGGATAGAACATTTTTTCAACTTAATAAAGTCATAAGTTTGATAAGAAACAAGTTCAGCATAATATTTTACATTTTTTTAGTGAATTAATTTGCGACATTTGTTTTAAATGAGCTAAAATTAAGCTCCCAAAAGTAAAAAACTCTCCAAAGATTTTAATATTAAAGATAATAGTGTCGCATCTGAAGCTTAACACAAATAATAGTAAAAATAGTAAACTATCAAAAGAACCTAAGTAATTGGATTAATTAAGGGATCACAAAGGTCATGCCCCTATTTACCATGATATTTTTTTTTCAAAATGAATTAAGAAGCAAAAAAAATTTAAAAGTAGGTTATTAAAACTATCGGTCTCTTTGCGATTTTTACATCTATGACACTTCCTATTTAAGAAATCCTTCCTATATCACTGATGTAAGTCAGTTATATGTAATTGACTTAAATTTCCAACTTTAAAGGAGATAGGTACAATTTTATTTTATTTTCAGTGAAGGTGTAAAACTGTCTAAAATATTGTACATTTTTTATAGTAAACTGTAATTTTTAAATATTATATTTGATTTTTAGGTGGCCAAATTTAACTTTCTTTACAGTAAATTATGTATTTAAAATTTTCTAATATAAAATTATAAAAAATAAAATTTCTGCAGATAGTTATTTATTTAATGAAGTCAAAGAGGTAAGCAACTTTTTAAACAGTAAAATAGTTAATATTTACAACATAAATAATGCTGCAAATAAAACATTTATATAGTATATAGACAGAGGACGCCGTAATACTTAATTACGAAATAGATATGTGTTTATATTTGTATTTTATTATATGTAAATGAAATATAAAAATTTGTTAATTGTAAATATTTTATACAATACAAGTAAATAATAATGATAAAAAATATAATTTGCTAATGACAATCGTTATTTTTACTTAAATGCATAACATGTAATTGTAGGCAACATTAGTTGCACTCATGTAAAGATAATAGTTATACCGAACATTGTATGTAAGATTTTTTATATCTATGCTTAACATAGTATACCAATTAATAGTTTCAATTTAAATTTAGTAACTAAATAATTGATTATAAAAAACATTAATATTTTCACATTTAAAACAAACAATATTTCAAAAATATTCAGTAAGAAGAAAATAAATTTATAATTATTATTATTATTTGTACGATTTTTAATCAATTTCAGTTAATAAAACATAAAAAATACATACCGGCAGTTTTTCTTTGGTTTTTTTTTCTTTTAATTAAATAAAAAAAAATTAATTTTAAAAAATATATTGGAATATTTATAACATTCCAAACATAATATTATAAAAAATATTTTATATCGAACAGCTCGAAATTAATAATAAACCGAAATAATATTAGCATATGAATAACAATTTCGTTTTACATAGTCATTACCTTTTATAAATTTATTAAGTTGTACAAATTTTAAAAAATTACTTCGTCAATTTTGTGTTACAGTTCATCTAAAAAATAAATTAAAATGATTAGTCCACTAATTATTTAAATTTATAACTAAATACAATTTCAAAATATTAAAAACTAATTACTAAATTCATTAAAACGGAATTATTTCAGAAAGTTTTGTAAGTGTTTATGTATATTAATAATTTGAAGTAATCAATTAGTATAAAAAACTCCGTCAGATACTTTTTAAGAATTAAAATAGAACTCTACATAAGTAAAAAAAAATTTTATCTGATTAGTTTTCGTAAATTTTTTTTCCCAATAATAATTACTGTAAACAGTTTGGTTATCTATTAAATACAATTACTTATATACTAGCTAACTAAAATTTCAATATTTATATATATTTCGTTGAAATAGAAAAAAATCATTTTTGTGCATTGAAATTTACAATTTTTTAAGTTTTTTACAAAACAATACAGTGACTAAATAGTTATAGACAAGTACACGGTTTTTATAAGAAGCGCACATTTTACATGTTTTTATTATTTATTTTATTATATTATTATTCAAACGAATTAGTAGTACGTAAAATAAGAGAAAACGAAAAATGTACTTATTTTTGTCAGAACCATATCAAAATATAAGCAAAAATATTATCCCTTACGGTATAATTCTTATTAGTAAAGAATTTCATATGTCTCCTGATGTCTGCCTATGGTCATAACAATCACTTAATTTATATAAATAATGATTTTGGAAAAAAAACGTTTTAGTTAATTATAATTTATTATACTTATAATACCTTTAATTCCTAACATAATATAACATAAAAATTAGAAATTAATAGTATTAAAAAAGAAAAATTAAATAGAGATTACCATAAATAATAAAAGTATTTATACACGTTCATTAAGCAAAGTTAACTCTCATATAATATTAACACAATATTTTTTTTTATAAATAAAAACTATGAATTTCATGAAAAATTAACGTAAAAAACGGGTGTGTAATTAAATACGTTTTTAATTAAAATTACAATACATTCAAAATATTTTTCTTTATTTAATCAAATAGAATATAGTGAAAATATTATAATAATTATAATATTTTTACTTTATAATTATTATATCATTAACTATTAGGACTTTTTTCATTATATTATGAAAGTTTACATTAGTCTACAAAAAAATTTCATTAACGACAAAAATATATAATCTAGGCTAATTTTCGCGTTGATTTAAAATTTTAAATTAGATTATATCTATCACCTTTAGTTTATTGAGATATATAATAATTACTAAAAAAAGGTAATTACGAATAAAATAATTATTAAAAAAATATATATTTTTTTAATCATTATTGATTTTTATTTTTGATTGTTAACCATAATCTATGTAATACTTTGGATCAAAATATTATATTTAACCTATTTTATTGTCCTTTGAAGTTGATTTTTACAAAAATGTATAGTAAATAAATATTAAACTTATTACCATAACTTTTTTTTTGGCTTAAATTGCAAGTTTGAAATTGACATCTAGAAATTAGAAATGTTATAAGCAGTGGTCGGAGTGGCTCAAAATATGTGGAGGGATGCCCTCCATTTTTGTCGATAATCTGAATACACAATGAATAATATAAAGGGGGATATATTATTTTAGAGATAATAAGTTGAGATATGAAAAATGTAAATTTAAAAAAGTAGAGGGATGGCATCCCTCCGTATCCCCCCCACTTCGACCACTGGTTATAAGGATTAAAATAATGACAATGTTTAGATTGATATTTTATCAAGAAATTATATAAATACTACTAAGAGTAAATATATAAAAAAGCTCAACATTTTGTTAAAATCATTATTTTTTTTATTTATATGGAATCATTTCAATAAAAATCATAGTAAGCATTGCTATGTAATTTTTGGTTTTTAAAAACATGCTGCAAATGAAATATTCAAAACCTAATCAATTTTTTAATTATTTAAAACCAACCAAAAATATCTAAGTTAAAATTAAATTCAATAAAATCTATGAATAATGTATTGCATTCCTATGGTTGATCTTATTCTCATCTAAGGATGCTAATAAACATATAATTAGATTTTTATTGCCTTGTTTTTATAGAGTTCATTTGACTTATTATTCAATATCTTTTTATTCATAAATTTTCATCATAAAAATAGTGGTTTGGTATTTGTAGCTGATCAAAATCTATATTACGAAATGAACCAATAAAGAGAACAATTTATTTTAAAAATATAAATGTAGTTTATTTATATTTTATATCATCATAATCATTTCCTTAGATTCTTGACTGTGTTAAGGGTTAGCTTTAGCTTACTGATAAAAAGAAATTTTGGAGGTGTGTATAACAATTAAATTTCCATACAGTCTCACCTATTCGGGAATTAACAGCAAATAGCGCAGCTGAATATCAACACTAAAATAATGACTGAATGGTCTACTGCTTCTTATACTATACGCCCCCTTATTAATATTTTATATAAAATATAAAATATTATTGTTATTTTAATTATAATTTTATACTTTATTATATTTTAACTTTCCTGATTTCATTTTTAATTCTTTTTCTATGTGACTCAGATAAACATTCTATTTAATGCAGGATCAAATTTTATGCACTTTTGCCACGTAACTTGTGCGACCATTTTATCTTTGAAGGATGAGAAATTGCCCATCTTCTTTGTTTTTAATTAGGCTTAGGCTTTAATCATGCAATTTAATATTAAGTTGTGCATATTAAAAAATAAAAATTTTGTAATTTAACTAGACACATTACCTACAAGAGATATATTTATAATATTTTGCGAAATTTTTAATATGATTTTAAAGGCACTACACACTTTTAGATATACTCTACTTTATTAAGTTAGGCTAACCACTAAATAAAGAAAACACTAATCTTTGGTTACAATTTTACTGGCATTTTATAGGTTCATTAAACATATTGACCAATAAAAAATATCAAAAATTTATGTGAAATAAGTTACATTTCAACATCGATAAGGCAGAAATGTTCAAATACGAAATAGCTTATTTTAATTAGAGTAATAATTGTTATTAATAATATGTATAAAAACATGAATATATATTTCGCGCTAAAATATGGGATATAAAATTGTAATACTACAAGAAATTGTGTTATTACCTATTTTTTATACATATTTTTAAGAAGCGATATTTGTGTATTATTAATATTTATAAAGATTAGCGATAAAAACAAGGCTGAAAACTGTTTACCTACGATTGCCAAAAATTGATAAATTACTCAATTAGTGAAAACCGGAACTTCTTGAGATTTTTTTTTTTTATTGAAAGCGGTTTTATTAAAACTTATTTAATTTTATAGAATCTAACTTCAAAATCGGGAATTGTTTTTCATAATTGCTTGTTTTATAAGAATAACTGTTTAACTCCCACACAAATAATACAACGGTTTTTGAGAAATACTGATGATTCAGTGAATATTTGAACAGCAGATATGTCTATACTAGAGAACTTAACAACATAAAAACAACGTATTGTAACGATTAATCATCGATTTTAATCGATTAACGGATTAAACCGATTTTTAAGTGGTAATATAATAACTATAACAATTTTAATTTAGAAATATTTAACTCAAAAAGCCACTAAAAAAAATCGCAAATACGTATTTCAAGAACAATGTTATCAATTCTAAACATATACTGACACCCCGACAGAAAAGAAAACTCCTTTTATACCCCTAGTGACCTCATTACTTAGTGACGTTATCACTAAGTAATATTATCACATTTTGCCAGTTTATACAAGTTTAATAATCAACTTTTCAGTGGGCCAAGATCCTAATTAAATTATTTTTAATTTTAACATTTCTATTGCTTACCTTATATTAAGTTTTTTGCAATTATTTTTTCTTCTTTTTCCTCACCTTAATCCCAACTACTTGAGGTCAGCCATATACTTTTAAAGTTTTTTGTAATTATATATGTTTCATATTAGTTTTATGGTATTAATGGAGCGATTATGTGTGAATAAATGTTATTGATTACGTCACTAGGTGATATAATTATTGGGGTATATAAGGGTTTTTTTTTCTGTCGGGGTGTCAGTATGTGTTTAGCGTTGATTATAGAAACATTGTTCTGAAATACGTATCTATGATTTTAATTAATTTTTTTTTTTGTGAATTTTTGAGCAAAATGTTTTCTAGTTTTAAATTAATAATATTTTTAATATAATTTTAGTTTTAAATAATATTAGGCACGAGTGATCAATTTTTATTAAATAACCATTTTAAAATAAATGGTCGAAATTCGTTTATGTGGTAAAATGCCGTTATTTTTACCAGTTTACAAATTTCTCGGTTACTAACAAAAATTATAACCCCTTTTTTGATACCGGTATTTAACATTGGCTAAAAACCAAAATATTCAAAGTTTTTCATGAAAGATAAAATTAGACCGTTTTTATTAGATACGAAATTTAATAGTCGATATTACAAAAAATTCGGTAAAACCAAATTATTTACTACAATTTTAATTCTGTGAGATTTTTCATTTTGTAGTATAATAAGAGATAAAAATGAAAAATTTAGTTTCTACTTCTTTGAGACACGTATAGGAGTTGACTTATGATGCTCAAAATTTACCAACATTTTCTATATGCTGTATAGAACAAAATTCCGATGATTTGACATCAAATTTATTTAAAAAAAGTTCAACTAAGAACTACTTTAATACCTACTCGTATTTAGTTCCTTCATTAATACACATTTGTTAACCTGAGCAGGTACCGATTTCAAACTTTGCAATTATTGTATAATATTATCGTAATAAATTTATTTTATTTTAATACTAATATAATTTATTTTATTCTCTTTAGTGCATATTTTTTATAATAGTTTTTTTGGGAGTCTTTTTTTTTTTTATACATTTTTTCCTTTTTAGTGTGTTTTTAAAATTTTCATGTTATAACTTGTTGATAAATACAGAATATAGATAGTTTCATTAGAACTTTTCTATTGACTGTTAACACCATTTAAGAGCCAAGGAAAACAAATTATGTGTTATCATTGAATTGGGCTGGTTGGGCAGTTATTGTGATTTAAAAATTGAACTACTGAACCGATCTTTATAAAATATCTATATTAAGATCTAAACATCTCAATTTTAGCTATTTATAAAGTTACATTTAAAGGATTATTATTTATCATTTGTAAATAATTTATAACGATGTAAATGCAAAAAAAGTGATTTTAACGAAATTTAAGCTCTTCTCATACATTTACTCTTGATAGTAATTGTATAATTTCTTTGGCCACATAAATCTATACAATGGTAAATGCAATTATTTACATCATATACTTCTTAAAATTATATGAATACAAAATTAGTGTAATTATAACAATACAATTAGTATATAAATGATAATGACTTTTAAAATATTTAGTATTAATTACATTTGGTGAATGTTATCATGCAGTGTGCAATGGTTCGTTTTATAATTGCAGTCTGAAGAATACAAATTTACAAAAGGGAAGTATAATATATTTATATATTTGTACAATAATAGTCTAATTAAGTTAGTCAAATTTAAACGTGATTATTAGTCAAATGATCAAAAAAACAATACTGAGATTTCTAAAAAAAAATTACACACCATTAGGTTCATTTGTTGGTAGTGGATCATTCCACCATTGTATTTTCGCTGAAGCCAATATCACATAAACAGAGTTAGCTAAAAGTACAACTCCTCCGCTTATCCAAAAGACATATCGCCATTCCAAAAGAGTATTCTGAAAACATAATTGTATAATAAAATTTACTGATTACAGTTTGTTTTGATGAAAATATTTATCAAACGAGTAGTCAAGTTTTATATTTACTCATTCAAAAGTAAAAAATTTAATTCTAAATATAAATATATAGAAGAGTTTAAAATATCTTCAACACTTTCTATACATCATTTTTTTCTGTCTCTATTCATCAAAATATGTACATATTTTATAATATTAAATTGTCTGTGTAATCTGATATAATAATTTATACGTCCATATTTAGTTTGACGTCTTCTTTATTTAATTTTAATAATTATCAAATTATTATTAATTATTATTGTATCGAAGTTTAAGATAAGGGTTGCCGACCACAACTACTTGGGATAAAGGCAAGAAAAAAAAAAGAATTAATATCAAAATTCAACCTATTGATATTTAATTAATAACAATAGACCATTAAAATTGATAAGTAACTTAAATTACATTTGGTATAAGGTATCCAATAAGAGGAGGTGATATTATGCCAGCTACAGCTCCAACTCCATTAACCAACGCCATTGCTGGACCAGCATAATTAGGACTCAAATCCAATACATTAACTTTCATACTAGAATAGAAGAAACCCATGGTAGCCATACCAACAGTAAATAAGGCGACTACTCGAACTTTATCACAACCAGCATATGATGCTGCCAATGTTCCTAACATAGGTCCAATGCAAGCTGTAAAAAAAATACAGTTCCTATTAGACATCATTCTAATAAAAGGAAAAAATTCATTAATAATGATTCATGATTATTATTAAATATATAATTTTTGTTATTTTTTTAATACTTAGACTTTTGTTACATGAGTTCATTTAAATATTTAAGTAAAAAAAAACACTGATATTAGTAAACAATATTAAGGAAATTGTCATGTTTAAAAATAATTAAATGAAATATAATATCAACGAACAATTTCCAACACTAAAACTAAATAACCATTTTTAAATCATCAGAAACGGAAATATACTTTTCCAAACCTGTTTTTCCCATTGATTTCAAATCTAATTATATTTTTTCTATCATCTCTAATTTTTGAAATAATTACTTATTAGTAAAAACGAGTAATAATATAATACGGAGCAAACATTATATTTATATCATAAACTATTAGAACATTTTTCATCATTAAAAAAAAGATGGCTACGTTTATTATATTCTTGTATATTATGAAAGATTGCATTGTTCTACAAATAATTTTATTAAAGACAAAAATATACTTTCTAGGCCAATTTTTTAAAATAGTATTGATCTATATCTGAGAGTGATTGAAATCATTGTAAAATACTTCAATGCATATTTAAAACATATTAAAAAAACAATTTAACATATCTACCAATTCTTGGTAGATATTTTTAAAAACCATGAAGACATGGTTTTTTTATTTTAGTGTTTGATTACTCAATGAAGATAAGTCACCGGAACATTTTTCTTATTTTAATCATATATTACATTAAAACAATCTTTAAATTTAAATAATTTTGAATAATACATATGAAATTTGGTTTTAATGCCCAATAACTACTATAAATCGAAATTTTGTGTAATTTTCTTTTTTTTATCTTAATATACATTGAATGATCTTTAATTTATTGCAGATTTAAAGAGTTTTGGTTTTTTAAAACATTATAAAGATTGAAAATAAAAAAATTTAGATATTTTTAAGCACTCGTAGAACTAGGTTAATGATAAGATTTTCTAAAAAGGCATGTCATCATCAAGGGAAATGCTTGCAGTATTATTAATCAAAATTTCGCAATATTCTATCCAGTTTTCAAAAAACTGAAATGAAAGTAAAACTAAAAATATCAATAGTCAATATCAAATATTAACTCTTATATGACAACTGTAACTTTTTGGGATATTTTTCTTTATTATCAGGAAATGTTTAAAACTATTGCTCTGATAACTTCAACTAGATACTTTTAGTAATCTTTTGATGTGTTGCTGATCAAAACCTGACCCGTAGTAACGGAGTACGCAGACACACAAAAAAAGAACATAGCAGAGTAAATCGTGAATCTTCTCGATTAAAGCAAAAAAATTTCTCATTTTTTAACACAATTTTTTTCAATAAAAATTGTTGAATTTAAAAGATATTTAACGTATTTATACATTACCAATAGTTGAAAATAATCGCCTTTGTTTCAATATAGATATTTTATCGTTTGTTATTAAATAGTCACTTAACCATCCACTGAATATAGCAGTGAACCACATAATAAGATGGGGCATTGAACTCCAAACTCCAGTCTATCAAAATAAAAACAATAAGATATTCCACACATAATCATCTAAGTTCTGAGGTATTAATGTATAATATGCCCTGTCATATTATTAGTCCCAAAACAAAAATCAATATTTCTTATTTTTTGATTTGAAAGTGTCAATCTTTTTAATTTTAAACTAATATAAATCATTATTAATAAATCACATATTAATGATCTCATATATGAATACCTTCTAAATTCTTCTAATTTGACCCGTAAAAATATAATTAATGATTTAGGTGTCACTTTTGATTACAAATTCTCTTTTAATTAGCATATTAAACTTATAAGAAATAAGTCTATTATGAAACTAAGATTATTAAATCACTCTCGTGTTAATTTTAATAAGTACTAAAAATATTATATTACTCTTTAATCCGATCTAAAATTAAATAGACATCTCTAATTTGTTATTCAGATACAATCTTTTAAAATCAATAATTATGTTCTATAAAGAATAATTTTTTAACATTTGTTTATTAAAAATTTCATTACCAAAGGTTTACTCACTCAGGATATAAGAATATAAATATATCATATAACATTATTCCACTTAAAATTAAATTTTAGCTACTTTATTTAAATTAATCAAAAATTAAATAGTTATTTTAAACTATAGGTAAATTTAACTTTTAAAGTTAAAAGTTTAAATATCAAAAACAAGTTTGTCCTGTAAATAGTTCTAATTTATACATGAAATACTCTCCTGTCAATAAACTTATGTCCATTTGTAATTCTAACTTAGATATTCATTTATTCAATATATCACTCAGTGAGTTGAATAATTCACTTTTTAATTAAAATTAAATGTAAATATTATTTAGTTAGTGATCGTAAATTAAGTATTATCAATATCTTGTAAATTTTATATATGTAGATCAATTCATTTTTAGTTTACTCAGAAATGTATTCATTATATATGTTATTTTATAAATGCATAACTATTACTGTTAATGTTAATTTATGGATATTCTATGTATATTATGTTGTTATTGTTTTAAAAATGTCTTCTTCTTCTTCCTTGCCTTAATCCCAACTACTTGGGGTCAGCCACCCTTATCCTGGGGCGTGGTGTGGCGCGGTGGTCACACTAGTTGTTGACAAAACTCTAGTTTTAAGCCGAGCCTACCGCCGTAGGTGAACGGATGGGTGACCATGTGTGCGCTTCTACGGTGGCGAAAAGCACCATGTCCCCAATGCAGAAGGCAACGGGAAACCACTGCACTTAAATTTCCCTAGGATATACCAATGGTATTAACCAATCTAACGGTTGTAAAAAAAACCCTTATCCTAAACTTTCACTTGACACTATCTCTCACATCATCTACGCTCTAACCAGATATCCTCATATTGCATTCAATAGCATCCCTCCATCTCTTTTTTGGTCTTCTTCTACCTCTTCTTCCTTCAACATTCATTTCTATAACTGTTCTTACAGCTTCCGATTCTTCTCTTCTCATAACATGACCAAACCATCTAAGTCTATTTTCTCTCATCTTATCCACGATTGACGTTACATATATACTCCCTCTTATATGCTTATTTCTTATCCTATCTTCTCTAGTCACTCCACTCATCCATCTAAGCATTCTTATCTCTGCTACACTCATTCTCTGCTCTACTTTCTTATCAACCGCCCAATACTCTGAACCATACTTCATAGCTGGTCTCACTACAGTCTTGTAGAATTTAACTATCAGCCTCATAGGAATTCTTTTATCGCATAACACCCTTCACTTTGCTCACCTACAATTAATCCTGTGTCTTACATCCTCGTCAATACCACCGCTTTTTTGCCCAACTGATTGTTTTAAAAATGTAAATTGGAAAATTTTTTTAAGAAAAAAAAAATCATTATAATTATTATATTGTTGAAGAAAACAGTAACTTATACAAAAATGATTTTTTGAATTTTCCTATAGCATATTTTGTAATTCTCGGACAATTGTATACATCTTTGCGTTTAGTTTTCAGATCGTCTACAAAATCAATGTTTAGTTTAATATTTTTAACAGAAGTACAATAAAAAAATCAGTGGTTTCAGGTATTTAAAATTTCGTTAAATTTTGAGCTTTCAACATGTACTTAATTTGATAAACTTTCATTAATAACAAATTTACCATTTTGAATAACATTATATCTTGCAAAAATCTTAGAAAATTTTCTATATAAATTTTAAAAAATTTGATATTTGTTGAAAAAACACTTACTTAACAAAACCAAAGCATTCTTAATTCTTTTATCTTTAATATTATTGAACACTGTTTTTTTCGTTAAACGTTATATTATAGTTAAACAGTATAATCAAACGATTACATGTATAATCAGTGTTATGAAAACAATTAAATAAAAACAACTGAGGTTTAAAACAAAATCATCAGCAATAAAATTACCAAAATGTATAATAATAAAAAACATCCAAATTAAGGTAATTTTTGAAAAAGTTAGGTAAGGTTAATCTAAATTTAACTATTTATTAATAAAGAAACTCTTATTATTGACAGAGTTGAAGAGGAAGCCATAGAGTGCCTCCCTCGATATACAACAAAACAATTTTTAATATCACAGGTACACACACATAAGAAGTTTGTACTATCAACCTATTTTTATGTATTTTGATGTCATAATTATCCACAAAAATTTTTGGAAAATATCAAAAACTAGAAAAAAAGTAATATAAAAAAAATGCACCACAAGTTATGATTATTTTGTCTTTATGGTCATAATGTTTTAAGGTCAGATAAATTTTTTTTTTTTGTAAAAGCTTCTTATATTTACATATTATATTTATATTTATATTTATCATCCATAGAAATTAATATATATTTTTAATTTATATTACAATGATGCTTCTATACTAGATATGTAACTAACAAAAACCGAAAAATTTACAAAAAAATGATTATTTTTGAGAAATAAAGTAACTAGTGTTAAAAGAATCGCCATTTATTATTTTTTACTTAAAATGCCTTATCTCATCAAAAATAATTTATTAAAAACATTTTTTTTGTTTTAGTAGTGATTTTTTGAAAGATACTATAATTTATTAAATATAAAACTAAAACCTACAACCCACAGTCCAGATGATTTAACAATGAATGTTAATTATTTTTATTATTAGTTTGTTACTATCACTTTACTGTTATAGTCTGATACTACTACCTACTATACATACCTCGGCAATTGAAAATTTCATTACAGACTTCATATATTTAGGTAAATCAGTATGAATCATAAACAGTGCCCAATCATGAGCTATCTGACCAATCATAAGTCCCCACATGGGACCTGATACAAGCATAGATAACCACGGAGTTGGTTGCATTTTTTCCTAATGTATCATAAGATAAATAATGGCTTTTACTAAAAATTCATGTAAAGAAACTATATTCACTAATTTTTAAATATAATTAAAAACTAAATTTACTTTGTTTTTGTTCACTCCTTTTAAATGTCTTTCTAAGTAAGTAAGTTCATAATCGGATATAGTTGGATGTTCACATGGTCTACTAAATACCAAAAGATTCCAAAAAACATACCAAATAAGTGCAATTGCGCCAAATGTATAGAATACCAAAGCCCAATTGTCATCAGTTAATTTTAACATGTATCCAGCTGAACTTTGAGCAACTATTGTACCGATCATATTTCCTAGAAAAAATATTACTTAGAAAGTGTTATTTGTTAAATTAAGATTAGTTTAACAAGAATTTTTTTTGAAGTTCAAATACATATCAGAGAAGGTTAGGAAATTTAATAACCCAACCCTCCCTAACACACATTATCACGTAAATTACCTGCAAATACAAACGATCCTATGGTAGATCTTTCATTAATGGGTACCCATTGCGCTAATAACGCATTCATTGCTGGTATCGTTGGACCCTATAATAGTAAAAGCAAATTCTTCAAAATATGGAAATTATATATATATATATATATATATATTTAATTATAAAATTTATAAAAATATTTAAGCTGTGCATCAAATAATAATTTAATTTCGCCTGTATGTCTACAAGAATTGAAAAAAATGATTTAAATCACTTGAACCTATGACGTATTATAAGGGCAAAAAATGTAATATAAACAATGTATAAATATAAATTAATATATTAATATATTATTAAATATATTAATATATACAATATTGTAGGTAACATTTCTTTGTATCCTTAATTACTATATATAATTACTATAAATTTTACAGTAGATGAACATTTCATAATTACTATAGAATCTTTTTATAACATTAACAATATTACATTTTTTATACGATTTTTGTTACAGTATTTAAAAGAGTCGAGATCGACTTGACCAAGTGGATAGAAACGTATATTTCGGCACATGAGGTTCCGGTTTGGATTCCTAGAATGCCAATGGGATTTTTTTTTTTTATTTTCTCATTGATGATCTTTGATCTTTGGTACAAGCCGGCCATTATACTCGTTCCGTCCATAATTGGCCAAGCCAAGAACCATCTTTGTCTCCTTAGTATGTGAAAGAGGATCACCACCCTCTGTAGGATGTTAAGTTCGGGAAATAGAAGGATGTAAAACTGATCAAAACATTTTTCATTATTTAAAAGTTAAAGTCGGCAAATAAAAAATACACCTAAAATAGCTTGATTTTATTGAATATTATAACATAGATTAAATACACATAGATAGGTAACACCTTTTACATTTTTAGTAATTCACTTTTCATCACGAATGAACGCAGCGAAACGACAGACTGTATCTATGCAATTATTTTGATATCTTTTATGTAGCATAAAAGTTGACCGCCCCTATTGGTTAAATTATACGCGATATTCTAAATGTTTAAATTATCATTTAATGAATTATTAATCAGTATTTATTATATTTATGATGATTGTATTTTATGAAAGCATGTAATGTTTTTTAAAATTATAAGTATTTGTAATTATTTATCCAACAAAATTTCATTTTATTTTTATTTTTAATACTTAATAAGAATCCTATATAGGTCTTTTGACATGAAATGTCGTATTACGATACTAGATTAAATAGTTAGCCTATAAAAAAAATTTATCCAAAAAATGGTATAAATTATTTTAAACAGCAGGTAATTACGAGCCTGAAGCTCTTGTAATAAAAAAGGTAAATAGATTGATCTTACCAGGATTTAAAATAATTAAAATTTAATTTAAAAGATAGTGTGAACGTAGTATCAAGTATATATTATATCTGACAGTGATTAAAAGAACTATCATAAAAAACTCTTTGATGCAAATATTTACATAGGGTATAATTTTGAGAAAATGGCGGATAATTTCAAAAGCAACATCAACTCCTACTTTTATAATTTTATCCTAATTTATATGTTTGTTACATAAATAAATATTAGAAAGTTAAAGTTATAATTATAGTAATTAATCTTAGTATAAAATTTATGTTCAATACTTTAATAATATTGTAAATTTACGGAGAAATTATAAAAAAATATAAAGAAGTTTTATACTTTGTTACTTCTATGACAAATGTCTACACAAATTGAAGTACTTGATGCTTCACTTATCAGAAAATAATTTAAAATAAATAGTTCTAAACTGATTTACAATGAATTTTCATAAGTAACTAAAATATACTTTTTCTAAACCAATATTTACGCTACTATCAAACTAGCAATTAAATTTTTTATGTCACTTCTAATTTTTGAGATTATTACTAATATGTAACAAAATAAATATTTACTTATAAAAAATTACTAAAGAAATCTAGGTTATAATGAAATTCAAACACACATTAACCGACAAAATCATAGGGGTCATTCCATGTGAAATTACCTAATGTGTCCTGCTATATTTCAGAAATTTTTATCATAGACTTCTTAAAGGTAATTGACAACAAAAATAATTTTTTTATTCTTTTTTTACCAGATAGCGCATTTTTTATAATTAAAAACATGAAAAAACACCTTATGTTCTAGAGCCTATAACTTCACATCAAATTAAGCTATCACTGTTGAAATAGCACTGTTTTACTCATATAAAATAATACTTCAATTTCTTTCTTAAGTTTATTTATAGTTCTTAAGAATTTTGGATTTCTTTTAACATCGAAATTTTGATTAAATTTTTTAAATTTTGCAATATTTTAATAGCAAAATTGAAAGGTCAAAAAAATTTTTTAATAAAAGTTTTTTTTTTTTTAGAAACTTTTAGTGATGTTCTTTTACCCCATATCATATTTGAATAAAATTATACATTTTTTTGAATCGTTTTACGGTCTTGAACACGTATGATTTGTTGAAAATAGCCAACTTTATCATCTCATTACACAAAAGTAACTAAACGAATTTCATTTAAATTTACATAGTACTTTTCTTTAGGCAATTAAAATGACTGATGAAAATTTGATGAAGAAATAATTTTAACGCAAACTTACAAAATTTACAATTTGCGTATTATGGAAAATCCACAAACTACGTAATTTTCAAAATTTAATTTTTATTTTTTGCATTTATTCTGCATGAAAATAAAATACTACATACCATTGTAAGCAACTAATTTTAAAGTCATAATTTTTTCAAATATTATGTAATTTAGATAATATTATTATTCTAAAAATATAATAAAATGTGTTATATTTTTGTGTAATAAAAAATAATTTTTACTATATATTTCCTTTTAATTCATTCTAAAATATAATTTAATTCTATTTATTTATTACACATACATATAAGTTTTATTTTTGTTTATATTATACCTAATTATTTTGTTCTTATAATTTACAACATTTTTATTGTATTGAAATTGGCAGACTTTGAAGTTATCTTATAATGGAGAAAATTTCCATTTTCAGGTATAAAACTGTGATGTTGACGAATAGCAGGACATATTTTTGTAGTTTTATACAGCTCACCTAAGTGGTGTTCAATGGAAGTACCTCTAAAGCAGTTATATATAAGAACTCAATACCTTTTATATTTAATTCACAATAATCAATCATTGCTCTTGTCGTAAGAATATGATTATTCGAAGTTCTTTGTAAACTAGCTTTATAGACCAATCGCTTAACTGTACCACCTATACAATTGCATGGACTCTTACCATGTGCGGTCGCAAAAAAATTCCATTCTGCTTCTAAGCCAAAATTTGCTGTGTGATAATATAGATTGGCCATATTTTTATAATTTTTATACTGACTGCTAGCTCCGCAGAAAAGTAGTGATTTTTTTTTATATTTGAAATGTTTTATTTTTTTAATTAAGTGAGATTGATAAACATAAACCGCATCTGTATTATGTGTCAAATGATCACTAATAATACAAAAACTTTTTGTTTTTTAAAGAATCCATTGAGTTAGCTTTATAATAAATTGTATAAGGATGTAAAGTCGCTTGAAAATTTACCCAGTGGTAGCTTTGAACTTCATCCTGGATCACAAACGTGAAATTCTCAGCAAAGTCGCCTAACACAATACAATCATTTAGAGCAAGAAAGCTTTTCTTTTCACATAAGTACGTAGATTGAGCTTTTGAAATGAAATGGTGTTTTTTAACAATAAGTAGCTGCTCAACTAATTTTTCCAAAATTTCTGCTCTATTTTGAGTAATTTTGACAAGTGTTGTACGATCTATGTGCATCCACTGACTATATACTATTTGATCAGTTATTGTGGTTAGTATCTAAATTAATCATTTGACGTTTGAGATTTTCAGGTCCAAGGCATCGATTGTTCGGCTGGACAGGTGGGTGGACCGGACTCACGGTGAGATGACTTATCGTATCACCCAAGTGATGTCCGGCCACAGCTGCTTTAACGAGTACTTACACCGTATTCATAAAGCAGCCGCGCCGACGTGCGACCACTGTTCGGATTGCCCGGGAGAAGCTGATAGCGCTCTGCACACCCTCTTCCGGTGCGAGGCGTGGGCCCAGGAGCGGGACTCTTTGGAGTCTCGACTAGGGTCCACGTTCCGAGTCGGGTCCATGGTGGACCTGATGTTGAGGAGTCGGGAGGCATGGAAGCTCGTCCAGGCGTTCGCCGAATCCGTCTTAGTAAAGAAGGAGGAATCAGAACGCCTGAGACAGAGGCAGCCACGCCGCCCGGCACAGGAGGATCTGAGGCGCTGGTTTAGGCCGGTACCTTAGAGATTTGTGTTTATATGTTTTATGTGTTGTGAGTTATTTTTGCCCCCTTCGCAAAGTCCTTCCCCCACCACCACGTGGTGCAACCCGGGCAACGGATCCTACTCTGGGAACCGGCTAACGGGGGAGGCCACAACACGTTGTGAATAAGCTCTTGATTAATTTCGGGCTTAAATACCTAAAGTATTTATGTAAAAAAATGTATTTTGATTTGTTAATTTTTCATAAAGTTATGATCCTTTTAAAAAATGTTGAAATTTACTGATTTTTTTTATGTATAAACCAATAAAATCAGTTTAGCGAGCGCTGAGAATTTTCATGAATATATATGAAAAAACGTACATCATGGTTCTTATCGAAACTAAAAATAATTTAATACTAATTAATGAAAAAAATATGAAATAATTATTTCTGAGTTAGGAATAAATAGCACACAAACTCAACTGAATAGCACACGTCACAAAGAGTCTACTATTTTTATTTGATGATCCATTCTTAATGGTTCGTTAAATCTTATCATAGCTAGTTATACAAAATATTGATAAATTTTATAACATGATAAAATTGAAATTATATTAAAAAATACTAACTTCGCCTATTCCTTCCAGTACCCTAAATGCGATTAAATATATTGGTCCTGCTCTAGCAGCAAATGGTGTTAGAAGAGTTAATAGAGCTGTCATTAACATCCCTACACCAAACACATGCTTGCCACCATACTTCTGAGCCAAAATTCCAGCTGGTATCTGAGCTATTACATAACCATAATAAAACGATCCCAATATATGTCCTTGTAGTGTTTCAGACCAATCAAATTCTGCATTCTAAAAATGATATAAAAAGCATTAGTTATTAAATATAAAATTATATTAATTAAAACATAAATTTAACTATAAAAATTGGTATAGAGAGTTTTAGACTCCCTCTCAAATTAAGTTATAGTCATATAAAACTAGCATAGTTGAATTGAAAAGAGATGTCAACTAACGTCTATAGATAATAATATTAATTGTATCTATAATATTATAAATTTATTATTTTATAAAAAAAGATAAAATTAGATGTAGTTCCTTTGATAACGGCCAATCAGAAGATATTTAGGAAAATAATTCCATTTATAGACTTAGCATTTTTGAAATTTTTTAAATGAGTCTTATGAAAATTCAACCCTAGTTACAATTTAAAATTTAATATTCACTGTTGGAAAAATCAATTTACACCACTAAATACATTCAATAATATTTTTACCACGTTGCTTTACATTTTAATGTTGATTAAAGTTCATTAGAACGTTGTTATTAATATAAAAGTATAAAATAAAGCCACAATATCTATAATTATAGAAATATCATTAGATGAAAAAAAAATTAATAGTTACAAATATTATTATTCTTCCCCGTGATCTAACTGATAACTGGACAAGTAATTTACACGACGTTTTTTAAATATGTTACAAAAATTTGTGAAAAAATTTATCAATATAACATTTCAATAAATTGGAACTAGTTGTATAACTTTATCACACTAGTCAATCAATTTTTCTTAGAATAATATTTTTTATGAATTTGAGGAGCTTTTGTTGGTTATATAATTTTCACTAAAAAAAGCTCCCAAAATAATGGAAATATATATTTTATATCTCTATTTATATATTATAAATGTTCATTCCTTATGTCTTATGAGGGTGTCAACTTTATTTTTTTAAACGGCAACATGCATATTTAACTACCATATAAATTTTGAACCAGTATTTCAGAAGTTATTTACATTTTTATAATTAGGTGTGAGCATGGACCAATCATTTTCTTAATTACATAATTTTCTATTTTATAAGCTAGTTAAAAAATTATGTTGCCTTTTAAAAAAATTTAAATGACACTCCTGTATGACACAAGGGATGAAAAATATTTATAACATATAAATGAAGATACATAAGTTATTAACTAAAGGCCCCCAAAAAATTATATTTTAAGAAAAATGATAAGGCTAATGTTAACAAACTCACATTATATGTTATTACAATGTACACAGTTCGTTCTAATTTAATGTCGAAAATAAAATACAGAATTTAAAGTTTAAACAATGTATATACATAAAAAACACAGTTGACCTACAGGATTTGTCGTGTTCTTTGTAATAGCAGGCCCCGGACATCCGTTTGGATCGAGAGTAGTTTTATGAATGTCTACAACCATTTCTGTTATAGCCACACTCAGTACTGATCTCATTGCATACGCATTAGCTATACCTATAAAACCTAAAACAGCCATTGTATACCGTTTAGTCCGAACACCTATAAAATAATACATTATTGAAATAAGTCCTTTTCATTTTGTATAAATTATGTTTATAATACCTTTCATTAATATTGAAACAGCCTCCGAAGGTCGTCTATTAACATTAGAAGCGTCCATAATGGATAATGTTATGTTGCTAACAAATAATAAATAAAGGCAAATTCAATTTGAATAATTTAACAATTAAAATATAAAATACTAATACTAACTTAGTTCAAAAGTTTGTAGAAAAACAAACTCAGTTACTGGTTGTCTATTACTTCACTTTTTTCCTCGAACATTTATAAACATATCACTTAATTTCATTTAGTATGGTTCTGCAAAATTGTATTAAACATTAGATATCAATAATATAATTATTTTATTCTCGGTTTACAGCATAAGTTTTCAAAGGTAATTATGTTACAGAAGAATATCTGTAATTATCATTTATATGTTACAACATTCGTGAAATAATTGTTACCATTTAAATACAAAATGTTATTATAATTTATCTATAAGTGCTAGTGTATGCATCAAGCGTAGAAAACTTAAAAATCGTCCTCAGTTATATTTGACCTCACCTCATTGGTCTAAACAATGACAATCGTAGGTCACACATGACGTGAATTTACATTTTTTTTAAATTTACTGTCGGTAAAAAGTTTAACACGCTGTGTGCATTATTGTACATGAACTATTATTTCAATGTGGTGTCAGGGCTAATTGTCACATGATAAAAAAACCCAGATTACAATTATTGGTTAATTAATGTCAATTTTAGATGAATGTACCGGATTGAACAGTAACCTTAAATTAACATTGTTCAGTAAAAAATATCAAGTTACACATAGTAAAAAGTAATACATAATTCATCGAGTAACGTTTATGTATGAATAGTATCAACATTATATGCCAATTTTTTTTAAAGACATGAATAAATGTCATTCATTTGGATTTTTGAACATAAAAATCATTATATAAAAAATCTATTAAATTTTATTATTTAAATAATTTGATTTACATTGTACTCATTTATAAATGAAACAATTAAACACTTGAAATAGAATTTAAGGAACTTAAACACTACGTGTAATTTGTAGAACAATTTGTATCAGCAATTTTTTTATTTAAATAATTCTATATGGCGTTCATAAAATTTGTATATATGATACAAAGTATAAATAGTCCTTCACAGCTAATGATCGGGAAACTAATAACCTTGTAAAACAACCCATCAGTTTCGATTAACGCAAGTTGTTGTCAGTTGATGACCGCACTTATTTTCTCAATTAACTTAATAGTAATACCAAAAATTCATATTTTAATTTATAGCTGATATTTTTTTCATTTAAAGACAGAAACTTAAATTTATATTCCGTAATTTGTATTCAACATACACATGTTTTTATTTTTTTAATTTGTGCGAATAATTTTTTTATCATACAATAATAAAAAAAAAGCCATAGTTGAAAAAATTATAAGTTTACATTAAGCCTCAATAATATTTAAACAATTTTCCTCTGCTAAATTACTTTCAACAATGCAAAATAGTTAAAATTGTTTTTAAATGTAAATTGTTTGTTTTTGTTGTAAATATTTGTAGTATTAGGTACTACAGTTGAAGGGCTTTATCCAATTAATCAGATAGTTACACTTTTGATAACTTTTTAGGGAAACTATACTTCTTCAAAATTTAAAACATTTTTATTTAAATAAATTTATCTATTTGATACTTAAATGTAGAAAAAATATTGCCTTTTTTACATATCCTATTGATAAATCTTCAAACATATCTATTTGCTGAGTATCGTAACAAAAGAACATCTGCAATATAATATTTTGTTAAAAGTAGATTTTTAAAAAAAAAAAAGCTTCTATGCAAATTAGTTATTTATAAAAAAAGTAATGGGTTTTTTTATTTCAATGACACAAAAAAAGATAAAATTAATTTTTTTTAATAAAATAAATAAATAGAAATTGTAATCAAATTTGCCCGCAGTCAAAATACGAGAGGGCAAAGTACTATATCGACCGTCCCATGAATCTGCAAAAGAATTATATCCAAAAAAATATTATTATTGTTAAAAATCTGAGTTAAGTTATATTATATTAAAAGTATGAATAGTATATTATACTATTCATACCTTCCTAATATGTTATTTTAATATAAATATATTAAATAATTGTTATACCCTAACACGCAACGTTTATCATAAAATAAAATTCGTGTTTTAAATTGCCAATTTATCTGATTTATCAATTTTTATTTACATGAACTATCAAATTTCTAAGCATTTAAATAAACCTTGACACCTAATTATCATAACGTAACACCTAAATTGCTGATATAAGAAGTTCTTACATTCATCTTTTAGGATGATTGTCCAACAAAACAACATAATTGATATAAGCACTTCATATTAAATGTTACAATTGTAATCGACTACCAACCGCACGATTACCACATATTGGTAGTCCACTTCAGATTCAATGTAACCAGACGGCTTCTTTATAAATAACATCTCTTCATTTGTCCGACGTATTAACCCATTATTAGCTTAATTTCACACCGAACTTAATATGTTATACTCCTTTTGTCATTTAAAATATTAGCAGACAATTGACTTAAGTAGAATTTTTTATTTACATTTTTGTTAAAATACGCATAAACCATAAACCATAAACGCATAATGTGTTAAAAATTATATAAAATAAACATTAATCTCTTGTAACTTATATTATTTAAAACTCAAAAATATTTAACTGTATATATTTAGCGCTGAGGTAATATTGTTTCCAAAATACGTATACGCAATTTCTTAATAATTTTTGTTTTTATATTTATATTTGAAATTTATTTTTTATTTTAAATAAATATTATATGTTTTGACTTATCGGAATGGTCATAAGTATATATAGAGTATAATATTTTCAATCAATATAAAACAAATAAATTTTAATCTAAAGTTTAATCAATATTAAAATATATTTAAATACAAATTTAGGTATACAATTAAAAATAAACATTTCAATTTTATTATAAAAAGATCAAAATAATTGTCATTACTAATACAATTTTAGACATTATCTGAGGTAGAAATTGACAAGATAATAAAGCTTTTTCGAGAGATTAGTGACAACGTATTTAAGTGGGAAAATAATAGATGATTTCAGTAAAGACATTATAATAGCACTTCCTAAAAAAAAGTGACAATGAATTGTGAGAAATATAGAACTTTAAATCTCAACATGCATGCCTCAAAAATTATTACAAGAGTAATAAAAAATATAATGGAAAATTCAATAGAAGTAAACCTTGGTGATAATCAATTCGGTTTCAGAAGGATTATAAGAACTAGAAGACCAACTTTAGCACTAAAGATAGTCGTAAAAAATTATAATAAATAGATTAGACAAAACAAGAAAGTTATTGTCGCTTTTATAGATCTGTAAAAGGTTATTGACACTGTATATTGGAATGAATTATTCAAACTATTGAAGTAATAAGAATTAAATACAATGATAGAAGATTTATTTATAATTTGTAACAAAGCCAAACAGTCTTCATAAATGAAAAGGAAGAGGAAGCAAAAATAAGGAAAAGGATAAAGCAGGGGTGTATCCTATCACCGATGCTGGTCCATTTTTACATTGAAAAGCAATGAAAGAAGTTATGCAAAAAGGAATTCAAATAGTAGGAGAAATAGTTTACGATATATCATTATGGGCAGAAATGAAGAAGACCTACAATTGCCTTAGAAACATTAGATAGAATATTAAAAAATAAGTATGGGATTAAATTATACAGCAAAACTAACCCAGTCCACTTAACATTATGATCGACAATGAACAAATAAGGCAAGTAAAATATTTCATATATCTAGGAAGCAATACAAAAGAGGACGGTCACAACAAAACAAATATAATATATAAGATAACACAGGCAAATGAAGCCTTTTAAGACAAAACACATATACTAACTACAACTAATGTCAGCTAAGTGATAAAGAAGAAATTCCTGAAAAGTTACATATAAAGTTAGCAATGTTTGAATATGAAATCTGAACAATCATGTTAGTGTAATAAAACAGGCTTAAAGCCTTTGACATGTGGGGCATCAGAAAAAAGCTTAAGATACCATAAACAGAGAGAGTAACGAATGAGAAGATATTTAATAGAATAAAAAAAACGACAATTGTGAAAGTGTATTCAGTCCAGAGAAAACAAGATGATAGGACACATTTTAAGGCATGAAGTCTTCTAAAGAAAATAATCTGATGTTTGTGACAAGTGTTGGAAAACAGCAGCACTGAAAAATCTGATGGGTCGAATGACAAAAAATGGCTTGATCTGACAATGAGAATAAGAAGCAATCAATGTTAGGTAAAGACAAATATATCAAATACAGAAAAAATATAATTTTTAAAAATGTTCGAACTAGAATTCAAAATAGTTACCCAATGTTTTGATTAGCTCATAAATTTTTTTATTATAAATTTAATTACTGAATGCACTAATATTTACATTTCAAATGCATAACACATATATAAAAATAAAAGTTTATATTAAATGATGAATTTTATCGAAATCAAAACAGTTAATGGTTTACTTATTACAGTTTGTTCATTTCGTGCAAGCAAAGAAAATTTAGTGGACTTATGGTCTGTAGATGATACCAGTATCAATATTATCCAATATACAATTTTATAGCATAGATTTTTGTTTCTTTACAACATTAAGAACTTGAAAAATTAACGTTAGTAAGAGAGATATTTACAATTTTTGTATGCAATTGTCAAAATGCATATACAATTTCTGAATACTTAACGATTGATGAGCAACTAAAACCATTTAAAGGAAAAAATTGTTTAGACAGTATATAACAATTAAGACGGAAAAATTAATCAAAAAAATCCAACTTTATGCGATGTACTATCAATGGAAGTATACGCTGAAAAACAGCACTTAACACCTTATGAAGTATCTAATTCATCCAATATATGATGTTCATAGACTAACAGGACCAATTGCCAATACTGGTAGAAACATAACAGCTGACAACTGGTTTACAAACATACTTCTTGTAAAAGAACTTTTACCAAAAAGAAAGACTTCAATTGCTATTTTACAAAAAAAAACAATCCTCAAATTCCAAGTGAATTGACTAATTTAAAAAAAAAATTACAAAAAGAACTATATTTGCATAATATATAATTCTAATAAAAAGCAAAAACGTAATTTTAATTTCAACAATGAATCTAAATACAAACGATGTTGTTACTACAACTGGCGAAGCAAACAAACCTGAGGTAATATCGTTTTATTATAACATAAA